GCTTAAATGGGGATATATATATATTTTAATTTATAGTTTACAAAACTCCAGATTATTATATTACTCTGCTTCTATTTGTATTATTTTCCAATATTTCACTAGGTCGATGGGTTCACTGTACAAACTACAGCAATAACTAAAACGAAGACAACGCAACATCTTTTATTTAACTATTAAATTGTACATACAATTAATAATGATTAAAATTAAATATATTATTTTCCCTATCCAGTATTTATCTAATCTTCCATATCAACCGTTATAGTTACTTGAATATTCTTATATATTCTGCCTTGATCATTAAAATAATAATTAGAAAAATATTCTTGAAAATGGGACATTTAGTTAAATAAATTTAAATAAATTTTCCAGTATTTCTAAAACTGAATATGAGAACCGCCAATTAAAGCTCAGAGTAATAGTCTTGTTAATTTTCGACTTTGATTTCAGGAGGAGTGCTACAAAGATATAAAAAGCGCCGCCGAAAGCGGCTGGGACTTCTCGTCCCGCTGGATGTTCGACTCCAAGGGAGACGCTAATGGCAACCTCAGTGACACCCAAACAAGGAGAGTTATTCCTGTGGACCTAAACGCGTTCCTTTGCAAGGCTTTCGAGGAACTTTCCATATTTTATTTAAAAGTCGGCCACACTTCCAAAGTAATTCAATGGAAGGAGAAAGCTGAAGAGTGGAGAAAGTCAATCCTGATGGTACTCTACAACTCAGAAGATGGGATTTGGTACGACTACGACGTCATCCTGTCGCGACCAAGGAAAATATTTTACCCGAGCAATTTGGCTCCTTTGTGGACAGAGTCATATGATCCGACAATTAACGGGGGCGAGGAGTACGGGTCACGAGCTGCTAAGTACTTGAAGGATCAAGGCGTGAAAGAATATAAAGGAGGTATACCGGCATCCCTTACGCAAACTGGAGAGCAATGGGACTTTCCCAACGCTTGGCCCCCACTACAAGAAATCGTGATTCTCGGCTTGCTAAATACTCACGACCGCGACGCGAGGTTACTTGCAGAAAATTTTGGCATGCGCTGGATACGGGCCAATATTAAAGGGTACCAGGAAAGCGGTAAGATGTTCGAGAAGTATGATTCTGTCAACCCTGGTCAGTACGGAAATGGAGGGGAGTATCCTGTTCAAACTGGTTACGGTTGGTCGAACGGAATAGCGTTGTCACTTATAAATATATATTATACCAAGAAAAATTTGTCAAGAGAGGATACAGGGGTTAAACTGGATCTTTAATATAAACATAATTACTTTGTCTTTATTTTATTATGCAACTGTCCGACAGCAATGGCCGTTTAAAGGACAAGATAAAAATCAACAAAAATGATATAAGACAAGGTACAAGTGGTAACAAAAAATAAGAAGAAAACATTAAAAACACATAAATAAAGCATGTAACAAATCAATTGAGCCTTACAAGGAAATATAAATCTTGCCATTCGATACAGTGTAGATGATGATAAACATGCGTTTTAGGTATTAGTCTATTCAAGATTTCAAGACAATCAACCAAACAATTCTCAATTTTGTACACTAGGTTCACAGAGATACTAATAACAGGTCATTGAGATGTCCTAGAGGGGGATAAAACCCATTTGCCTTAAACTAAATGTGCGTTCGAAATTTTCTTTGTTTATTTTCAATCATATATTTCTGATTGCAATATTTAGTATACCAAATCGAAAAACAGCACTCCAGTTAGTGCATCGATTGATTCAAATTTTCTCGAATTAACGTATATAAAATCCATCTGGTTGTAAGCATTAGCAACAATTGCATAAATATGATTTTTAAATAAGAGTTTATGATCAAAAGGTACTTCCTAGATCAGTCAATATCTTGGGACTTAAAAGAAGAATAGGAATGTCATTTATGTTATAAGGAAAGACTCTGTACTCTGCTTTTGGAAAAAGGACAAAATATTGCACTTTTTAATGTTCAAATTGAGGTGATTCAAATTACACCAGTAATTAATTCGCTCTAGTTTACCCAACATCCTTAGATACTAAGTGGTAGATTTTCATATAATCGGCATATGGTAGGTGTTTAACATTAAGACAAGAAGATATATCGTTGACATAAATGTTAACTAACAAAGGGCTCAAAATTGAAATCTGAGTAACCCCAGATATGCACTAAATTTTGTCGACTTAAATCCTTGATATTAAATTTGCAATTTGCCCTTTAAGTAAAACTTAAATAGTAGACACGATTTACCTGAAGCGCAATCACGTTTGTTAAGAAGAGTCTCATAGTGAAGACGTTCGGAAGCTTTCGTCATGTCAGTATGAATTATATCAAGGTTGTCCTATGTGTATTGCTTTATTGAAATTAAATGAGTATTAGTGGATCTGCCTCTCATAAAGTCATGTAGGAATAACATTATTTATATGATTACATATAGAGAGGTACGGACTGTAATTTCAAGAGCTTTAGCCAAATTATTGTAATTGAACAGTTATTAGACATGTATCTGTCTTCGCTTTTACAAATTTATAAAACATATAAACAAAAGATATACAGACTGTTACAAATTCGCTTCTCACTACAGGGATCTTGAAAACGGTAAGAGATACAAACTAGCTTAAATGGGGGCAAAGTTGCGTAATCAGGGGACCAACATTATGCCTCTAAAAAATCAATGCTAACATGTTTATATTTCGAAATATTTGAGGAAAAACTAAATTTTGGAAATCCGTTTTTGTTTCATTTCAGCCTTGTTTGAAGTGATATTGAAAAAAGAAGAACTCTCATGGCCACTTTTTGCCCATTATCGAATGGCATAATCAATTTTTATATGTAACGTTTCGTCTCTCCAGGACAATCATCAACTTCATTTTTTAAATACGACCCTAGAAATTTTATTACATTTTTTGCAAGCCTTCATGGCCCCCAATATTGTATTGCCTCAGCCCGAACCAGATTCAGACGTTTTGTCTCGAAAAATTAATCTTCAGTGTATTCGTTCCAAATTTATCTAAATTTTTTATTTAGGTTTCTTTGTTTATTGAATTATCGTACACAGTAAGTGTCGTTAGACCCTGTAAAATACATCTAGTTATTTACAACTATTACCACCACGCATTAAAATAAAAAATTATTAGTTTTATTCCCGTTATTTTAGTTATTTCTAGGCTCCTCGAGCGCTCAAAATTCAAACAAATTTTGTTTACTGAAATTTTTTAAAGAATATTCAGTTGGCGTTTTGGTTGTTCATATGCATTTTTAAGAATTAATTTGTCGTAATAAAATTAAAATTGTAATGTTTTAAGTTTGACGCAACAACTTATTGAGTTATTCATGACTAAGTGATGGTATTAGTTAATAATAATAAATGTGTTATTGTGACGCGTGTTGGTAATAGTTTAAACAACTAGATGGATTTCACAGGGTCTAACGACATTTACAGTGTACGATAATTCAATAAACAAAGAAATCTAAATAAAAAATTTAGATAAATTTGGAACGAATACACTGAAGATGAATTTTCGAGACAAAACGTCTGAATCTGGTTCGGGCTGAAGCAGTACAGTATTGGGGATCATGACGGCTTGCAAATCATGTAATAAAATTTCTAGGGTCGTATTTAAAAAAATGAAGTTGATGATGGTCCTGGAGAGACGAAACGTTACATATAAAAATTGATTATGCCACATGATAGAGGGCAAAAGGTGGCCATGAGAAAGTGTTATTCTTTTTTCAATATCACATCAAACACGGATGAAATGAAACAAAAACGGATTTCCAAAATTTCGGTTTTTTTTTTCAAATATTTCGAAAACTAATCATGTTAGCCTTGATTTTTTAAAGGCATAATGTTGGTCCCCTGATTACGCAACTTTGCCCCCATTTAAACTACTTCGTACCTCTTACCGTTTCCAAAATCCCTGTAGTGAGAAGCGAATTTGTAACAGCCTGTATACGTGATGGATTTCAGGTATTTGGAAAAATACGTCTACTAATAATAATAATATCTCTACCCCTCATTCTAACCACGAGAATTAGCCCAGAAGTCGGAGACTTGTACGGGAAAGGAGGCGGCATATTATTATTATTATTAAGCAGGCCGCATTTGCGCCCAGGAACGACTTATGTCGGTTGGGCCTAACCACCATTCAGTGCAGGAATGAGGGAAACCTGGAAAACCTCATTCATTAGGGGGGTGGTCAAATGCCAACCGGTGTCAATCTCTCACATTGACCCAAGCCAATATTCTTCCACCCGACCATACCTGCACAGAGGGTGCCAATACTCCGTACAAGCATAACTAATCTACGGTCTATCGGCTGCGGGAATCGAACCCGGGCAGAATTAGCACACATCGATTTAAGTACTGACGTCTTAAACCGTGCGGCTATCGACCGCAAATTAAATTAAAAAGCAAATCGTTTGCCTTATGTAATTAACACAAATGCACAATCTTTAAGGATGAAGGACGGAATGCAATCTGGTCCGGTTGTTAAGATTTCAATGACTTAAGTGTACAGTAGGATTCACTTTTATCATAGAATTATCACAAAAGCTTTTTTGAGCTGTAGTCGACGAATAATTGTCAGACAAAAAATTACAAAACGCATTCAATATATCCTGGAAATTTTAAAAAGCGTCACCATCCAGCTTCATTTTAGAAGGTATACAAAAGTTTTTCTTCTTGTTATCAATATAAGACCACAATTTATCAGGATTGGAAGAAATATTGGATTCGACATTAATAATAAAATTTAAGTAGGAATCATTTGCTCAACAAACTGAAGGTAATATTTATGTTTATAATTAAATGGTAATGTGCTGGTACGAAATATAAATTAGTCTTACAACAACACCACTCCCCCGGTGGAAAACAGTCTTTCCCCTTTAGGTAGGATAAATAGACCACCAGATCATACTTTTCTTCATTTTGATGATACCACAGCCTTACTAAAATATATTGTTAAGAAGGGTGATAAATAATCAAAATGAATACAAATTCCATCGTTTAATACAAGGAATAAACCTGCCATCCACACCCTTTGTTGGTGTGATTTGTTGTAACAATATCATAAGTTGATAGATACATTTCTTGTCACGATTTCACTGGATCCAACAATTCCGACATATCCTTTCTTATAATGTTCCTCAGGCTAAGAGGAATTTTATTATTATTATTTATTNCGTGAAAAATGAAACACAAATTCACATAATATTTTAGTTATGTCAATTTGTGTTTCATTTAAAAATACATACAAAAATCTACCTTTGATCATTTTCCAAAAAATATAAAAAATTTACTTAAAATTAATTTATTATTATTTATTATTTATTCATTAAAAAATACATACAAAAATCTACCTTTGATCATTTTCCAAAAAATATAAAAAATTTACTTAAAATTAATTTTTTATTATTTATTATTTATTCTTTGTTTCTTAGATTATTGACTGGTTTTTATTCTTGTTTTATTGGTTGCAACATTTGTATTTATTTATTCAATTCTATGTTTGTCCAAAGAGTCAAGTTTACCACTTCCTTGTTGGTCTAATTCAAAATTATCTTTGAATCTTGCATTGGGCCTAAATTTATTTCTAAATTATTCAGTTTATACAGAGTGTTTCTTGAGGGGGATATAGAGGACATTGTGGTAGAAAACTTTTGCATAGGTATAAACCCCTAGTTGGAAATGAACCGTTTTGGCCCTGGAGCAATTTTTATCTAAAAACGTAATGTTATTTCGTTGACACCAAAAGACTGATATTTAAGTAATTTTTATTAAGGATAACGCAAAAAATGATTGGAAACAAAATAGACAGGTTTATCTCTTCTGATAAGTGTTTACCAACTGCACGTCCTAAACATGTTGGTAAAAATTGATTTTATCCACAACTGTGTTATAAAAGCTCTATTGCATGCATCTAATCTAGCCATGCGATGTCATCTGTATCACGCTGTGAGGAATAGTGAAACAAATAGACACAGTTGTCACGTAGACTAATTTAGTGTTTCACATTTGTTTTGTTTGCGACGAAATTTTGCTTTTAATTGTAAGTTGCTGAAAAGGACCAATTTACGTTCGAAGAGTATGCAGACATGCATCTTATTTATGGCGAAGCAAGATGCAACGCTAGAGAAGCTGAGCGCTTTCCGAATCGCCGAGATCCTTACCGAATAACATTTTCGTCCATCCATCGTCAGTTAAGAGAAAAAGGCAACTTTAAACCAGATGTAGGAAATTGACATCCACGAACTGCATGGACATTGAGGAAGAGGTTTTGCATTGAACTAAAGAACAACCTACAAGCCGTTTATTATAAATTTATTATTTTTCCGTCATCCTTAATAAAAATTACTTCAATATCGAAGCCTTTTGGGCTCAACGTATTTTTGGACAAAAATTGCTCCAGGGTCAAAACGGCTCATATCCGACTAGAGGTTTATATACAAAAAATTTTTCCGCAATGTCCTCTATCCCCCCCTCAAGTTTGGCAATACCTTTATGAAATACCCTGTATGGGTTATTGTTCTAAAATATACGTTTTATTGTGGCATTAGACAAATTGTTGCCTTGACAAAGATATAGATAGATATATACCTATTAGACTTCTATTTAATTTGAAAAAAGTTTGAGTTTCTTTAAATATAAATATGTAGGAGAAAAAATCAACACTATAACCCAGAAAATTAGCTTTAGTACGATTTTACTACATCAATTTGCTATGATCAAGGAAGATGTTTTACCCGGACAACATCTCTACTTTATGGACAGTCATAAATCCCGAGAAAGATCAGGCCAACAATACAACACTACTTCAAGGACTAAGAAACAAACGAATTCAAACGATGATTATCAGGATTCTCCCAAACTGGAGAGCAACGGGATCTTAACACTTGGACTGCAATGTGAGGCGATTCGTTGAAAATTTTGACATACGCTGGAAAAAAAAACAATGAGGTTCGAAACGTATAATGCCATCAACCGTGGTTAATACGAAGGTGAAGGCGAGAATCCTGTTCGAACTAGTTATAGTTGATCGAATGAGGCCACGTTATCAGTTATAACCACCTATTATTCTGAGCAAAATTTGTTAACAGAGGATAAACGGTTTAATCTTGAATATAACTACGATTACGTTTTTGTTTAAAATATTAATGTGCAAGAACGAAAAATAATGCCAAGTTAAAAACGTGATAACTCGAAAATAGTCTCAATTGAAACGAACTGATATCTTTTTGGAAATTCCTAGTGATCAATTTAAATATCTAATACCGTGAAACATTTAGCAATAATCTCCCAATATCTCCATCACAGTTTGGTTTATATACAGGGTGTTCCACCTAAGAGGGATTCCTCTGTAACAATTGTAAAATTTATAAAAAAAATGGTTTTAATAAAAGTTGTCTGGAATCATATGGGCCATGTAAAGATAATATTTTAGCTTTACAGGGTGTTTCATTTCGCGTGGGCGCTACATAACTTTGTTATTTTAAATGAAATACCCTGTAAATTATTGCATTTTTGAATTCCTTGGTTAATATTAGGTAGAGATTATTAAATGTACATGGTACTTAAAACTTACTGTTTTTGAGTATTTAATTGTTTTTGAAAAAAATCACGATTTCAGCTCTCTAAATGAGGCTAGATAGCATCTAAACCGTAAGAGTTAGAAACCTGCAGTTTTGACAGTTCGTTTTGGCATAAATTACTCTATTTTGTCATCTGTGAGCAAAACGTGTACCATATTCAGACATTTAATAATCTGGTATAAGGTTGTCCATGCTTATCTTTAACAGTTTTCCAGAAAGATCAGGTTCCGAAAAAGTAGCTATGTAACAGCATCAAGAAGGCCTTGCAAAACCACTTTTCTCTGACATTTTACCAGGCCTGGGACTGACAGTGTCAATATTTACTGGCATGTTTAAAAAGTGGTTTGATAAACAAAAGTAAACCACTAACAACAATTAAAACAAAACGCAAAACGAAACAAACTGAAACTCGGAACACAACAAGGAGAAGACCGCTGATTTACATCAATTGTTCCATTTTGATTAATATTAATACACAAACGAATTCGATTTTTATAAGACTGTTTAACATGGGTCAATATGTCAGGCGCAATTTCTTAAAATGCTACTGTAATGCGGTGCCACATATCTTCCGCGGTAGTTGGTGGTGTAAGGTAAACTTTGCACTTTGAGGGCCAACTCACTGGTCCCCGCGCCCAATCCATCTGTTGGGAAAAGTTCCGTGTAAAAACTGACGAACCGCAGCGGTATTGTGAGGTGGAGCACCGTCATGTTGCATCCACATTCTTCGAAGTGTAGCTAAAGGAATCTCGTCTAACAAATCTTCTAGCTAGAGTGTTTGTTAAAAAGTTTAAATAAACTGCACCAGTTAGATGCTGGTCAAAGAAGAATGGTCCAATAACATGCGCTCCCAAAATTGCTCCCTATACGTTCAAAGACCGTTGTTGGCTGTGAGTTGTCCGGAATTGGTGAGAATTTACTGTGTAATAATAATGGCAATTATGACTAGTAACGCAACTATTTTTATGAAAAGTAGTCTCATCGGAAAACATGACCCGTTTAAAAAATCAGCATCTTGATTTGACATCTCAGGTGCCCACTGACAAAACTCCAGTCTCCGCTGAAAGTCTACTTTTAGTAACTCTTAGTGTAATTGGATGCGATAAGGATATGCTGTGCTGTGTTTGTAAAATCATATGTATCCACGTTGTATTAATACAATTACAAGGCCTTCTTGTTGCTACTTTTTTTTACTTTAGGAAAGAACCTGGAGATTCTTAGATAAGAATTTAGGAAAGAACCTGGAGATTCTTAGAGATAAGTATAGACAACCTTATATCAGTCGAACGGGCATTCAATTTTGCATTCAGCCATGACAATTAATATGGGTCACTCCATTTGAAAGAAAAAAGTTTTTCAACTCGTAAGATTATTAAATATAGGTCTCAGTATTTCCGAGTCTTAATAACGTACACGTTTTGCTCACAGATGACAAGATATTTATGCCAAAACGAACTGTGGAAACTGCAGGTTTCTAACTCTAATTTAAACGCTATCTAGCCTCATTTAGAGAGGCTAGATAGCCTCTCATGATTTTTTTTTCAAAAACAATTGATTATCTCTAAAACGGTAAGTTTTAAACACCATGTACATTTAATAAACTCTACCTAATATTAACCAAGGAATGCAAAAACGTAATAATATACAGAGTGTTCCATTTAAAATAACAAAGTTATGTAGCGCCCATGTGAAATGGATCACGCTGTAAAGCTAAAAATATTATCTTTACATGGCCTACATGATTCCGGACAACTTTTATTAAAACTATTCTTTTTATAAATTTTACAGTTACAAAGTTACAGAAGAATCCCTCTTAGGTGGAACATCCTGTATATATAACTCATTTCAGTGGATTCTGCATTTAATTAGATAAATCATAAGCCTAAATTTAATCATTTACCTACATTATGCGTGTTCAGAGATATTATATAAAATATGAATTTTCCCAAATTTCAACATTCAAGCACTTTCAGCGTTCTTTCATAGATTTTTTTTTTCTTATTTTGAATATTGTAATATACTATTTATATACCAACCTCAATATTATAAATAGAAATAGTAAGTAACTAATAAGGATTGTCGCTTCTCTATAATTAATATTCTGTACAGAACTTTGACGGAAAAAGAGCTCACCTATCACTTCCATAATTAAGATAGTCCGTACTATCGCGGAAAAACGTACGAAACTGAATTTTATCAGCACTAAAAGCAACACAATTGCTAGTTTATAGGTTATCGTTAAGTGCAACGTAAATTATTTAATGGGTTGTATAATTAAATATGTATAAAAGGTAACACTTGCCCATACAAACAGTCACTTTAAAGCCATGAAACCTCTTACTTTAGTCATAGTCTCCATATTTAGTTACAATCAAGTTCAATCCGCGACGCTCCAGTCATGCGATAGTCTAGTCTACTGCCAGGGAGATCTTCTAGATACGGTACAGCGAGCAGAAATATTCGAAGACTCGAAAACTTTCGTCGACATGATCCAGGTGAATCCGTCTAGTCAGACTTTACAAAACTTCGAAAGACTTAAGCAAGAAACCAACAACAACCCAACCAAAGACGATATCAGGAAATTCATCGATGACAACTTCGTTATGGAAGGAGAGCTGGAATCGTGGACTCCAAGCGATTACAACACCGACCCTGCGTTTTTGAAAAAAATCGATGATGTTCTCGTGAGAGATTTTGCTAGAAATCTAGTGAACATCTGGCCAACTCTTGCCAGGAAAGTGAAAGCGGATGTTATGGAAAATCCAGATAGGCATTCATTGATCTCCGTTCCCAACGGCTTCATAATCCCAGGAGGTCGTTTCAGGGAATTGTACTACTGGGACTCCTATTGGATAATCGAAGGGCTTCTGCTAAGCGAAATGCAGAGCACTGTCCGAGGGATGTTGGAAAATCTGCTCTCGTTTGTCGAGAGATACGGATTTGTTCCGAATGGAGGTAGAGTTTATTATCTTAACCGCTCCCAACCTCCCCTATTAACGCTAATGGTTGGTTTATACATTGGAGCTTCAAATGACACGAAATGGCTACGTAAGCACATCGGCACACTTGAGAGAGAATTGAAGTGGTGGCTGACCAACAGGACTGTAATTGCGGAAAAGAATGGTGTTAAGTACACTTTGGCTCATTTTGGATCCGATAGCGGAACTCCGCGCCCAGAATCGTATATTGAAGATATAAGGACTTGTGCTGGGTACGAGGAAGACACGAGAAAGGTAATTTAACACTTATTTTATGGAGATATTTTATTAAAATTCATTCAACATAAATTCGACACATCAATAAAAGATTGGACTCATTCAGTAATATTTAATTTATAACTTTTTTTACAATTTATTCAATAATTTAACCCCCAAACTATGTTATGAAAAAATCATGTTGATAACTTTAATATTAACCGTGACAAATAATTCCTTATTACACAAGGTGTCCGAGAAAATGTAGGAAATCTCTCGGGTGCAGATAGAACATGAAAAAATAACATGGCAAGTTCATATAAAATTTTTTCGTACAGGCCCTCCCTATGGAGATATGTGCCCCTGAAGAACGCCGCTGGAAATCGGTTTTTCTTGAATAACTCTTAAAGTACTTTATATAATTTAATAAAAATTTTATGTGATGGACACTAGTAAGGACCTCTTAAAATAGTGTCCTTGAAACATATTTAGCTTTTTTGGTTTACCAGGGGCGGGCTAAGATTTACAACTTAATGCCTAAATTTTTAACACCCTGTATGATTTAGACTTTAAAATAATAAATCTGGGTAGCTTCAACCTTAAACTAAAAAAAGGTACTCTTGTTTATTGTCGATAAAATTTACCGTTTACGAGAAAATGAATAATAAACGTATTCATACTTTATTTTTAATAAAAAGGGCTATGATTTCTATTTTTTTTTTCGACAACAAAGTGCGATACGAAAGTCATTCAAACAATAGAAAAGTTTGGTGTCCCAAGAGGCACCTGAAACAAATTATTGAAAAACTTCATGAGAGGGTTCAACATCATGGGCTCCTTGCAGTCTGATACACTCACGGGTACGACGAATTGAGGACTGCTGTACCCGCCACAATAACCTAGCATTGTTCCTTATCACATCACAATGAATCGTGATTCTCTGTAGAAGTTCCTCTCTAGTGTCGACCGGAGTGAATACACCAATTGTTTGAGGTATCCCCAGAGGTAAAAATCCAGAGGCGTTAGGTCGGAAGATCGAGGAGGCCAGGCAATATGTCTTCCTCTACCTATCCAACGGTTTGGATAGACGTTATTCAGCTGCTCCCGCACACCAACGCTGAAATGAGGTAGAGCCCCATCGTGCATGAAGTACATGTTTCGGCGGCTTTCAATTGGTAAATGTTCTATTAAATCTTGAAAAGCGTTCTGAAGGAACGCCAATTATCGATTCAATCGTTCCGGCAATAATGAATGGTCCAATAAAAAAATTGCTAATGATTCCTGCCCAGATGTTAATTGATTGCAACTGATGTTGATGGTGCGAAACAATAGTGGCATGAGGATTTTCATCAGCCAATACATGTGTTTTGTGTAAATTGGTGATACCATTTTACCAATTAAGTTTACGTTATTTCGTTGCTGATCCAATAGCCAGTTTGCAAACTGCATTCTACGAGGAAAATCTTCAGGAATCATGTATTTCTTGCAAATGGTATGGATATAACAGCTGTTCTTGAAGAACTTCATGTACTCTTGGTTTCGATATATTTAACTATGCTGATAATTTTCGAGTGCGCGTTGATGGAATGTCTTCTACAGCAATTAAAACATTTTCCTCTAATTGCAGCGTACGTACAATTCTTCTCAGACTAGCATCAGTACCTATTATTTTTTCAAATTTTCCTACAAATATGAAGAAAGTCAATAACATGAATTACCTTATTAACTGGAATCGCCCACCATTCTCCCTTAGACGTTGGTCAACTTGCTGAAATGTTTTCTGGTTTAGCAGAGCAAGATTAGAAAATCTGTCGTGATATAACCTTCTGCCTAGCAGATACAAGACCAAACATGAGATATATATCTGCATACTCAATAAACGTGTATTCCATATTTCGAATTAATTCACAATTAAATTCACCACGAAATCCAAAAATCGGTAAATTAATAATGTAATAAAGGATCAATATGTCAGTGATGTCAATTTGTTATAGAGAAAATAGAAATCATGGCTCGTTTTATTAAAAATAAAACATGAATTCGTTTATTATTCACATATATCTCCGTAGGGAGGGTCTGTACGAAAAAATGTTATAGGAACTTTTTCATGTTCTATCTGCACCCGAGAAATTTGCCACATTTTCCTGGACACCCGGTATAGTATAGTTTCATTTTTTCCCTTATTTGTTTTACAGTTTAGATATTTTCCCTGTTTATTGGTATTTTTCCACATGTGAAACAAAAAATGAATCCAAGAAATCTTTGTACCACAAGGATTAATTAAGAGTTGTTTGTATTTTTGATTAATCAATAATTGCACAATGAAAATAGCAGATAAGGAAAAGGTACACGTCACTATGTCACACGTTTCAATTAAAGACTGAAGAAGGGTAGCAACATTTTTTGAAATATCATATTCCTGTAGATATATTTAACAATGTACGTACTCTTCTCGTGCAAATATAGAAACTAAATTTTAAGACAAAAGCGCTTATCTCGCACTAAACACTAATGCAGGAATGCGACAAGTTAAGGTGCGTATTCATCTGCGTTCCGCTCCGCGTATTTGCAGCAAGTTTTCTAGATTAGTACGGGGTTTTCGAGTTGCGCATGAACCGCGCGCACACGGCGCATCACGATCAACCTCGAGTCGGTTTTTTCGACGAACGCTTTGTGTGTTCGCAGTACAGATTTGGACGGGAGAGCGAGAGGCTTGTTGTTCTTGCTGCGTGTCCATTCAGCGGTAGTATGGAATGGTCGGAAGAAAATGTTATTAAACTTATCGATGCTTACCGTGCGAAATCCCTTCTGTGGGACCCTCAACATAAAGATCATTTTAAGAAACCGCAGATTCTCAAAGTCGGAAGGTGACATTCGAGTAAAATTCTTATATTGACCGCTTATTGCTTGCGACTTCAAGTCCATCATAAGCTCGGTACCATTCCGTTTTTTAAATAGGATAATGTGCCACCAACGTCGCTGTTTCCTTTTCTTTTTGCACAAACTTGCCATTAACAAAAAGCACCACTCATCACCGAAACGGCGTAATTTTTACCATGCGAGACAGAGACATGATCATTTACAATGCAAAATATCTACTAAAATGTTCATGGGTTTTCTTTGGATCGCGGAAGGTTCTTCGAAATGAATAGTTCAAACGAACATTGGACGAGCAACGAACGCGCGGGTTGTTCGGCGCGCAGATGTATACGTACCTTTAGATGTCACTTATAACAATCTAACACCACCTATACGTTAGTTTTTCCTCTTATTATTTGTTTATGACATATTTAAGGAAAATGTTAAACATCAAATCACGAAAAAGCTTCACCAAATGATTTTTTGTCTTCAAAATCGTTTCATTCTATACATTTTTTACTCCGTTCCAGGAAGACTGTTACAAGGACATAAAAGGTGGCGCCGAAAGCGGCTGGGACTTCTCATCCCGCTGGATATTCGACTCCCAGGGGGGCGTAAACTCCAATCTAACCGACATCCAAACGAGGAGAGTAGCCCCCGTGGACCTAAACTCCTACCTCTGTCAGGCCTTCGACCAACTGTCTTCGTTCTATTTGAAACTCGGCAACCCTGCCAAAGCGTACGAATGGAAGGAAAAAGCTGACACGTGGAAGAAAACCATCGAGCTAGTACTCTATGACAAAGCAGATGGGATCTGGTACGACTACGACATAAGTCTGATGCAGCCAAGGAAGATATTCTACCCCAGCAATTTCGCGCCCCTGTGGACGCAGTCGTACCAACCGCTGTCGGGGCGGCAGTACGGGTCGCGCGCTGCCAAGTACTTCAAAGACAAGGGCATAAATAGTTATAGAGGAGGTACACCGACATCTTTGCAGCAAAGTGGGGAGCAATGGGACTTCCCCAACGCTTGGCCGCCTCTGCAGGAACTTGTTATTCTCGGCTTCAAGAGAAGTGGTGATTCGGAGGCAAAGCAACTGGCTGAGTCCCTTGCGAAGCGTTGGATCGATGCCAATATCAAGGGGTTCAACCAGAACAAAGAGATGTTCGAGAAGTATGACGCCGTCAACCAAGGTCAATACGGGGGAGGTGGGGAGTATACTGTACAGACTGGCTTTGGATGGACCAACGGTGTAGCGCTGGCGCTCATAAATGAGTATTACGTTGATAATAGTTTGTGGAAAAAAGTGATACATTCTGTATTTAAGACTTGAAAACAAATAAAGTTTGTATTCTATTTTAATTCATAAATTTTATGGAAATCCCAAAGACGTAATGACATGAGGGTTCAAATTCAACTTTTTGGAAGTAGGCTGAACAATACACCAGATCAGTGCATCTTATAAGGCTTTGATCAGCTGAATCCGAATCTAGTCGGTATTCCCGGGTCAATTGGTGTTTTGACCCTAACATCAAAACACTTCTCCAGAAAGCAATTTTAGGGATTTTAAATCATGATTTCATGAGATTTCATAATCTCATTGTATAACAGTATCAACGATTAGGAATCTTGTCTTTGGCATGTATAGAAATCATAGAATTCTGGTATCAAAGAACATTGTTGGATTTCTTCGAAAGATCATTGTTAAGCCAATCGTATAAGATTGTTTAAAATAAGTTTACTAACGTATCAAGTATTTTATTACATTTTTATTTGTAAAAATTAAATTAAAACATTTAAGACGTACGTTCTTAGACTTTTGGTTGTCGAAAATGCCTGTTGAAACAAATAATGAGAAATTGGCTTTTTAAATACATATTTGCACTAACTGCGTAAACTTGATTTCCAAAAGGTGAATTTGATTTTCAAATGGAAAATTTTATGTGCAGAAAGGTCAATTTGATTTGCAAACGAATGCAATACACAATTTACATTCTAATTTTCCCAGCGAAACCAATAACAAACATATTAGGTAAGGCAAAAGTAACGAGTAGTAAAACGTATCTGGTAAACAAAATATTTATATGTTCCTAATTCTAAATAATAGGAAATTTTTCGCAATCTCGATAACATAAATTTGACAATGCCATTGTTTAGTAAGTTTTGTTAATATTCATCATTACATTTATTTACGACCCTTACCGTACAATAAACATGTTGTTTATAACATGTTCACAGTAAAGGTTAATGAAGTTACTTGCCAATTATACAGAATGTCTTATTATTCGAAGTAAATTACTGAAACAAATAACACAAAATTATCAGTTTCATGATGAGCACACATGCTTATTCCCTAGAGATTTCTACCTGTGTTTACTTCTAAGAGGAAGCAATCATAGCTTTATCGTTGGAGCAGTACGCTGATAATGTGAATATCAAGGTGCTTGTCCCTGACTTGACTACCTCAATCGACGAATACATTTGTTGCATTTTCTCAATACTCTGATCGTGGTGATCAACATAACGTACTCTGAGAATATCACACTATGGTAGCTACTCCCGGTGTGCTAGTCGGGCGCTTTTAATATATCAAAAAATATTCAGTAGCGTCGGAATGTTGAAGCACTTAATTCGCGAGAACAACGAAATGCCCAGTTATCAATTGAGGGGTCCAAAGCAAAAACGAGGTATATCCATTTTAAATAATTTTACAGGAAAACAAAGAAACGTTTTAAAAATTAGTTGGTCTTTAAAAGTTACTTTACTGTGTACATCTCATTTAAACATTCAATAGCAAAGATGCCCCACATGACTTTTTTTATTTATTTATTTTTTTCAAAATATCCTCAAAAAATGATATAGAAATATGGAGAAACCTGCTTCTTGCACAGTATTTGCATATCTTTCTGAATAAAATTTGTGTTAAGTGGTGTAAGCTTTATTCTTGGTTGAAATAAAACGTTACATAGTAATAAAATAATAAACATACTAATTTTCTATATGCTATCGGATTCATATTCTGAGAGCGAAGTTTCGATAGCCGAAATTTCAGGAACAATATGATTTCTTTTTATTTCATCATAAAATGACTTATTAGCTAGAGGTACATAGTTGATTGATAGGGAAATGACGTGCTCAAGTTTATTTGGTTTTAGTAAACATTTTCTTGAATACAGAACTTTATCGTTTTTTGAGAGAGAGAGAGAGAGAGAGAGAAATACGTTTTGGCTACAAAATAGACCTAGAATTTCTTCTAAATTATATTTAAAAATCCTGTACTTATGTTCATAACCTAACACAACCCACAAAACCTGAACAAGTAAATTGCAATCGGGTATCTCCCGGAGATGCCTAGTTCTTGTCTAGTGGAAATTTCAATAACTTTACAATGCAAAAGCAGGGTATCTCCTGTAGATATCTAATTCTTGCACTAGCTTAATAACCAGGTATGTGTTATAATAGCATTTTGTATAACCTAAAAACAAGGCTTGCGTCTTATACAGTTTGAAAAGCGAATTTTTGTACACGTTCCGCTAAAAATATAAATTTTCGTAAAAAGTGGAGATACTTACCGGATTCTAACTTTGGACCTCACAATTATAATGTAAGTAGGGGAGACCGGGGACAATTGTAACAATTTTTATGTATTACGTCACCATTTTGTACGTATCAAACATAATATTCTCAAATTTGGAAAATTATATGTTTAAAGTTTTGTCTTTACTTTACCGAAGATAGACGTACACTGGCTATTAATTTAACAAATGAAAAAAAAATATTAGCATAGTAATGTCACTCGTTACATTTGTACCACACCTGGAGACAAATGTAACAGAGCTTGGTATAATTGTAACAACTCCATGTATAAACAAAAACTTCAATAATAACGTAAAATATATTTCTGTTTAATATAAAAAACTTAAGTACAAAAAAAAATTAAATATATAGAGTTAAAATAAAATAAATATTCTGGAAGGATTAATTAATAAAATCAGTCTCTGCATTCGGAATGAGCCCAGCCCTTACAGTGTTGGCATTTCACCCATTCTTCACCATGTCTGTCATTGGAGTAGGGCAATAGGCAATACAAACATAGAGCATCGTCATCATCCGATGAAATTAACTGAATTTCCTTTTTTTTCTTTGAAATTGTTCTTTTTACTTTAGTCGCATTCTTTTTCCTTGTTCTGGCCGCTTCCTCTTCAAGCGCCATTTTCTCCGGCGTTTCTGTCAATATAGCTGTATTTCTCTTTCTTCTATTTGTCGAGGTTTTCTTAAGAATTGTAGGAGCTTTTGGAAATGGTCGAATGCTTTCTAATAATTCTTTGGAAGTATTTAGTTCATCGGTTTGCCAGGGTATCGATGACGATTCTTTATTTGTTGGAATAAATTCGGAGACAGTTTTGTCTTTGTCAGTGTTTTTGGATGTGGACTGTAATGTTTCTCTGGATGTGGATGGTAAAGTTTCTCTGCTACCGATTCATCGCCAAAAAGCGTGTGATTGATTTTTGGAGGTGTTCTCTGTATTAAATCAATATCAGTGGGATTGAAAGGCTTATCAGTTGGTAAAGACGGAGCAAACTTATGATCTTGAAAGATATCCCGATTGATAGGGTAGACCCCACTATCTTTGAAACCATTTATTATATTTGTTGGCGTAGTAGCTTTTGGTAGTGCTTCAGCAACAAGTGCAGGTTTTTGGTTTAGATATGCTTTCAGCGGTCCATAAACACTTCGGTCTAATAAGGCTGTAACTTATGAGACGTATGGGGCGGAAATGACAGAAGAACAATGCCATTTTCTCGACAGAAGTCAATTGTTTGCAAGCCCAGGTGTGACCTATGATTATTCAGAATGAGTAAAATCTTGTTTTCAGGAGAAGGTCTAGTGTGTTTTGCAAAATGTTTTATGTATGTGAAAAAGGTGTCAGTGTCCATCCAACCGGAACCATTAGCTTCGCCAACAGGAGCTCGAATCATGAAGTACGGTTTAAACCGCTTCCGAGGAAATATGAACATGGGCGGGATTGTATTTCCTATGGCATTCACAGCTACACATAGGCTAATTAATGTTCCTCTTTCCGCATAAATAACAGCTCCTGCTTGTTTAGTGCCCTTGGTAGAAACAATTTTGCTCGGTTTTGGGACAGTAGTTACCCCTGTTTCATCTACATTATATATGTTGGCAGCCTCAAATTTTTCCTTCTCCATTACCTTGCAGAAGAATTTATTAACATTTACTTTGTTAAAATTCACAGCTCTTGCGTGGCTTGTGGCTTCTGGCACTCTTATTGATAATGTGGCATTTCTCTTCATAAAGTTAGAAAACCAGTCTCTTGATCCCATTTTTGTAGCATGCCATTGCTCTGGAACTTTAATATTTTTTCTTATGCAAAATTCATACGCAAGAGAACGAACATCAGATGGTGTAAGCCCAAAATACATATCCGCTGAATTGCGTATATATTCACAAAATATTAATTCTTCGTCGTCAGGTAATATTTTGTTATGCGAATTGTAACCAGTATTGGGTTCTTTAATGCCACTTTTAACTTTCTTAATGTATCTGTGAAGTGTTACATGACAAATTTTAAATTGTTTTGCAGTTTCCCTTTCAGAGACACCTTGATCTAAAACTAAAGAAATTGCTTGTTGCAAGTGGACACTAGAAGGGCCTCTCTCGGTTTTTCTGACTCTCGAACGTGGCATCTACAAAACAAAATATTTCAGCATTTACAAAGTTGAACTTTTATTATTGAATAGAAAGGGGACAATTGTAACATGTTACAATCGTCTCCTACTCGAGTGTTACAAACGTCCCCAGCTTCCATTTTGTTGTAAAAAATTACTTATACAGACAAGCATTTCTTTTTGTAGCTGCAAATTATTGCAACTTACAAAGTAATATTTATATAAGATATAGGCAAAATTTAAGCTCGGTTATTGCATATTTACTTCCCTTTTTTAACAAAATAGTTTCAGTAAACAAATTTTACTTACGGTTTAAGAATTCCAGTATCTGCCCATGGACACAAACATACCACAACTGGCGCGTTCAAACTACGGGGATACGCAAGGATTTTATACAAGAGGATTGCTCGATCCCATTTAAGCCTATGTTCGCCAAATAAAATGTCAAACGCTCGAATACGTGACGTCACTACGTTACCTTCGTGCTATGTTTACATATGTAAAACGGCTCATTTTCCTTACTTTATGTGTGGTTTTTGTGGATTATTGTTCGTTTAGAGGATTTATCGTCACTGTTATTATTAATTGACGTTATATACGTAGTTTGTTGTTGTTAGTTCTTGTTAACTTATTAATATAGTTC